TTATTAAAGTTCGCAAACTTCTTTACCACATTCGTCGTTTACGCTCCCACCACCCACCTCAACCCTTAGTCTGGCGATTCATGGATGCCTGCATTCTTCCTCTTATCCTATACTGCTCTCCTGCCATTTTTCCTGCTCTGCTAAAAAACGATCTTTTAATTTTGAAACGAGTCCTCCGCATGCTCTCTTCTGCTGCTGGTGTTTCTTGTCTTTTTTAGTTGACACTATCTTACAACGACACTTCAATGCGGTCAACCAATTTGCTGCTCGAATTCTAGGAAACGTTGCCCATCCCTTACATTCTGATCTTATGTCTGCGAAGTCTTCCCCCCGATGCGCCGCAGCTTCCGACTTATATCCTGTCGCACATCGGCTTATCGAGCTTCTGTATTGCCATTCCTAGCGCGCAATCTTGCGTGCAAAGAGACAGAAATACAGAAGCTAAGACTTGAACTATCCCCATAATAATCGTTTCTTTGTGTTAAACTTTGACTCTAAAAAAATCCATTAACTTATTTACTGCCCATAGTGAATGGAGCCAATTTTTTTCTGAAAATTTTGAACTTACGATTTCAAAATAAAGCGAATTCTTTTCCCTCCTCTCTCTCTAAGATTGTCCACCATCGCTGTTTAGTGCTGAGGATTTACGAAGACCAAATTGGCAGTTGACAGTTAGTGGGGCTTTGTGTGTAGTCATTTTGCAAACACCTGTTACGTAAGGATGGGAGCAACCGGAGTCTCAGAATTCTTCATCAATTTCTACCCTATGTTTACTATGTCTTCAGAATATTGTCAAATATCTCCTAACGAGTGGAGTCAGTATGTGGTGATATGGCGACTGCATCCTGTAAATACTGCAGCCCTTTGTTCGTGAACCACCCGTATCTGCTTTTGTCTTTGATGATGAGTTCGGGCAGGAATCCGAAGCGTCAGGCGAATAAACCTCTTGTTCCAGCGATCATGTCTTCTTCTTCAGAACTGCTTCCTGGGACTCGTCTCTTCGCTTCTACTAACGGCTCAATGTCTAGATTAGGCGCCTTGTAAACAATTCTATCAGGCAATAAGCTCTGTCGAGTCTGCTCTATGGATTTTTAACTGCGAATCTGAACAAAACGAAAGGCGTACTCTGCATCCACTAATAGCCGAAATGGGCAACGCAGTCCTTTAAATAAAAGTATTTATCACTGTCTAACCAGTTTTTCTCTCCTTTTAGTGAACTAGTAAAATTACATATCCCGATACAAGACTTACAGTGCCTGACCGATCTCATGAAATATTGGCCAAAATTCTAAAATGTGCTTTCGGTTAGGAAGGATCACTTAGTTAGGGTTGTAGTATTAACCTTCACGCAGTATAATCCCATAATATTTCGAAATTAGCAAGATGTCAGCTTTTGAATTCATCGCTTGTTGACCTCCTACAGAAGGCGTACTGGGTAAAAAGTGCTACTTAAGTAGCATGCATTTTTACACTGATTTTTGATGGTCTTATAAATTCAAATATATCTTGTAGAAAACACGTACAAAAATAAACTTTAACTTGCTCGTTTGGTAGAAAACCGCGTTTTCTTCACATTTTATGTCCGAAGAAAGGGCATATTTAGGTCTTAAAAAAGTTTCTAACTATGCGATTGTTTAAAACCAGGCAATGTCCATTTATACAGCATCGTACATGTCCATTTGCTAACGCTGCTCATAAGATTTACAACGTAGTCCGCATCCATTGCAAAATTTTATGAACACCATGTGAAATCTTTTTAAAGACGTAGAGGATTATATGATTTTCCTTACGCGGAAAGCCTACACCTTGTAGATTGAAATCGCTAAACGCTAATGCAACGGCTGATCAGGCTCAAACTTATTCGGGAATCGGGACACTTTTTCAAACTCTAAATATACCCTTTTTCGGATATAAAATATGAATAAAACGTGGTTTTTTACCAAACTAGTAATATAAAGCCTATTTTGGTACGTGTTTTTTTACCAACTCTACTTGAATTTATAAGACCATCAAAAGTCATTGCGAAAACTGCATGCTACTTAAGTAGTAATTTATTACCGAGTGTGCCTTTTGTAGGTCGAAAAGAGGTGCATTCGAAAGCTGACATTCTGGCAAGTTCGAAATATCAAGGGAGTATGCCGCGTGAAGATTAATATTACAACACTACCTAAGTAGTCCTTCCTAATGGCAAGTGCATTTTAGAAGTTAGGCCAACATTTCATGAGATCGGTCACGCACCGCAGTAACTGCGGCGACGGAGGAGGAGATTGATTACCTCAAGTCCACCTTCGTAAGTTATTGCCATCGGTATCCTAGTGCAAAATTACTGCAGGTCGCGTATATCATTAGGGTTGATCTTGAGAAGCTCGATAAGGTACGTCGAAACAAGGAAATATGTATTACTAAACCACACGAACATCCTGGTCTTGTGTTAGTGAATCAAAGTGTTTCTGTCTCGAAAATAGAATCAATCCTGTCTGGAGGGGCTAAATTTGGAAGATCGATGCCAAATTAGAAGAAATCCGTAGCCATGATAGTCTAACTCGGAATATGTCTGCGGAACTTGAGAAACACGAAGTTTCAATAACGAATGAAAATCCGAATCTATTAAACCTACTGATGCAAACGCCACAATGTTATGTGGCTTACCAAGGATTCCCAAACTCGACTTTCCTATGCGACCAATATTAGGCAGGTGAAATTCGTATAATTACACAACTGTAGAGTCGCTCCCGAAAGACTTAATTCCTTTCGAAGCAAAATGGCTTCGCGCAGCCCACAGGACATTTTGAAATTAATAGTTTGTTATATCCCCAATTAGTATGACGCCAGTTCTGTGCGGAATAGAAGACAGGATAGGAGAGCACAGCTTTACTGCGTCAGTCACCCTGTGTACGTCAACTCTTAATCCTCCCGTCCGTGGCTTCGTATTTAAGGGTTCAGCCTTCGTCTGGTTTGCGTGTTCCTACTGGTCCAGTCCTGGGCGCCCGCACGAGCAGGCCCTCGCGTGTTGCTGACCCCTGGAGGTCGCGCATGACGCAGCGGCGTGCTAATGTCTGGCTCGCATGCGGGCTTCCTAGGCAAGGCTGTGCGGCAAGTTTGCGGTTCATTGTCAGGCGTGACCTCTGGACGACAGGAACGGTGCGTCGTTTTATGGGCCGTCCTAACATACATTCTAGGAGAAATACGGATGCAACACGAAGAAGATGCTTTCGTCAGGTGTCCCCCCATATTTACTAATATGGGGAGACGGAGACGGTGGAATAGGTTCTTGACGAGTCTTTTAGCAAGAATTCCCCATTGGCATACCAGTCGTGGCTCTAAAGGAGCTGCTCTTTTGCTGTGCACTAAATGTTCAACACAGGGTTGATAGTTGATTTCATCGTCAGACCCGTTTGGGTCCCTGCTGCCGAGATCTTCATGGGAAAACAAGGGAAAACTCAGCACAGTTCAGTTATAAAGGAATTTCATTTCTGTGTTCGATACGTTGGTGACATTTGTGTAAGATCAAGTGAGAAGCCTGATTTGCATACCCAACTCCATAGAGGGAATCAAGCCTGCCCAGCGTTAACCTAAACTTTGGGGAGAGAGAATGAGTAATGTCTTCTTTTTCTGGATTTTCTACTCAGTAAAACGTCTGTTGGAGCAATTCCTGCGAATGCGTCTCGCAAGGAAACGTGGGCAGTGCAATACCTTAATCTCTGCAGTTTTGTTTTCCCAAATCAAGAATGATGTTTAGTCCACTGCCTAATTAACCGAGACATGAAGATATGCACTCAAGGTACGCCTGTGCTGCACTCCGAATCGCTGCGTCCGCGGGTACTTACGGCGACAGAGGCGGCGGTCTGAACAACTCAATCGTGTGCTCGTAGAGGGCGTTAGTTTATGCCTTCCAGTTTCCTTGGCCTAAGTTAAGTACTTTATGTCTGCTACCGCATCCTGCTGCGTCGCGTTTTAGCGATTGAACCTAACCATGATTCACTGGTAGTTTTCCTTTCTTCTTCTTCCTCCGTATACCTTAACAGAACTTAACTATAGTTGTCTCTGGTTATCTAATGCAGGGACTCCCTCAATCCTCTCTTCGCGACCCCCGTTTGTTGGTTGTTTTCGATTTTGTTGTTCTACCAGAACGTATTTATATTTATCTACAGGCTTGCCAAGAAATAAACGAGAAAACACGTATGCCTAACATGACTTCTTGAGTACTTTCATGGGCAGCATCGCAGATCTATAAAGAAATTGTCGTCTGTGTATCTGCGTCAGAAAGAAAGATCGCAGTGATGAGGCCCAACCCACGTCATAACTTTCGGCAACGATTTCGTAACTTAACTGCAATTTGGAGAATCTGTTGAATTTGAGTTCTCCTGACTTGTCCCTATTCTTCATTAGCTGAGTGCAATCCCTCAATGGAAACTGTTCATTCTCCCCGATATGTGACGCTAATTAACCTGACTTCTGCGCCAAGTGATAAGGCAGGATAATACTTCACATAGTCAATTCAATTGATCGAAACCATCTGGTGAAATTCTCCCTGGGCATGTAAGTCTTCTATGCCATGCTTTAAAGGCCAATTAAAAGAACTTAGGAGACGCACTTCACGGCTTTTTCCTAAGGTGACGTTGTCGTGATTTCGTCTCCCGCCCAGATCATATGTCTCCCCCCTCTGGATTGTCTACTGGTAGAACGCGGTCGAAGAAGAACACTCAGGATTACTGGGCAAAATAATATAGTATTTTATTTTCTCGGAGCTATCTACTGACACATTCGACCCATAACAACACGTTGTGCCATAGCATTCATTAAACGGCCAGACACGTTATTCGACTTCCAGCCTGATTTTCTCCTCATGATATTTACTATCAGTTACAAAAGTCCAAGTCCACACGGTGTCACCTTTTAATTGCAAAAAAAGCTGTAATTAGCAAGTGCTTCATCAGCGTCTGTTGTTCTGCCTGAGGCAATAACCTCTAGTGACACAACGCCCTACTCCAGAAGGTTGTTCAGACGCCGAGTTTAAGGAGAGTCATCGTCCTCTTGACTTTCGCTTCAACCATGCACCTCACCGACTCAGTGACGTAAATTGTCTCCGCAAGGCAGCGCTTGCAGTCACTATTTTCACTGATAGTTTCCTTCAGGCATTTACTGCAACCGGGCAGTTTGCAGATGTGGCTCTCGTAGGGTCGTAGGCACTGCATGCAGATTATAATGTCGGACTTGCCGATAGCAGTACCGACGCACTTTTTGCATTGAGTGTGATTTGTCCAGCCAAAGATCCACTCAATGTCCTTCTCGCTCTTCACGATGATCTCCCACTTAATGAGGCCTTCCAGGTAGGCAAGGCATGTGGAGGGGATGTTGGGCAGGAAGTGCTTTGTCAGAGATGTACTGATAGACGCAAGTGCGTTCTTCTTATGAACGGCAGAAAGCACGCCTGTTATGAAGAGAAGAACTGTCACTGCGGCGATCTTCATGGGAGAGTCTTTCTGTAATTCTACCTGGAGTTTACGTTTACTGCGTATCGGGAGCAAGTCTTTTATAGGCATGTGTTTGCGCCCTCGCTCGTATGGCAATTAACACCCCCCTGTTATTGCCATTAGCCTCTTCTAGGCGTGATTCAGGTCAGAACTTCTCTCGCGAACATGCACGAAGCTGGTCAGGGGAGAATAATTGGCGGCGTAAACAGAGCTTCGTGGAACGGAACGGTTAGTGTCTATAAGCTAGTTTGCGCTTACTGGGTCGGCAGCTATTTGATAATAGGGGATGGTTGGAAGTTGCCTCCTCGATTCTGACCAAAGCCGTTGTAAGATAGCCCCTGTTGCACCACCAGTCAGGATTCCATTTTTGTAGAGTCCCAAATTGTCAACTTGAGCCTGTTAAATCCAACGTGCCCACTCGGAACCTTGATATCAGTTTCGAATGGAGCTATCGGTCATTTGGGACGCATGGATACCCTACATGAGTGGTTGACGGGGGAGGTGTCTCTGTCGGGGGGTAACAGAACCAACGGAAACCCACTTGACGCAGTTTCTAGGGTAATGAAATATTGCCACCAGGTACACCCACCATAAACCAGCAGTTTTCGAGATGCCTTGCTTCTTCCTCAGACGAGTCCCAAGCTCCATCGCTTTGCGTCGACTTAGACTTCTATAGCCATACATATTCGGAGGGAAATCTTTGATGAAGCAAGTAGAGCACCTGTCTATTTAAGTAGTTAGCCTTTCCGAAGTCTGACGTGGAAGCAGTAAAAAGAAAGCGTTTTTTCAGTTAATGTCGTCTGCCTACAAGTAATGACTTTAGTTGAGACATCTGGCACAGGGAAAAATCAGTTGACAAACTTATTCCAGCCAGCGAGGGCGTTGGCACCCATTAATGAATAGTTGGAAATGGTCATTGTGGCCGATATGTGGCCGATTCTCGAGTGTGTTTTACTTATCTCTAAGAGAAATTTGATGAGGATAATTTTTTCTGTACAAACGTACTTAAGTTCCTATCCTTTGCGTGCGTCAGGTCGAAGGTGGGCCGGTTTATGAGTCCTTGTTGACCACAAAAATTTGTGAGGCCCTTTTTGAATGACACTTTCAAAGTCGTTAATTCATATTATGAAAAGCGCTCACAGTTTTCGAACTACGAAATAACTGCCTAGGGGTATTAGAAATAATAATAACGTTTATTCAGGAATGTATGTTTTGCTCACTTTAAGCTTTCCGAGGCGCATGGGACATCGCTGCGAAATGTTATTTGCACAGCAATTTCAACAACATTTTATGAAGAAAAAAATGCAGTTTTTTCGTGCACTTTTATTATTGAGTTTTGAGACCTGTAAAACAGAAATCAGATTTCACAAAAGTATATATAGACGTGCACTTTTTTATCTCCGGTAGAAAATTAATTTTTCAAAGGTGGTGCCTCAGGGAAGGTACGTATTTTTGATTTTTAAAAGTTTGCGACTGTATTATAATTGCCCGAGCTTATATCTGTAGTCAAATATGATTCACAAACAGTGGAGCCGTAAATTAAGTTTCAATACACGCAAACGTCAGTAACATACTTAAAAATAAACAAGAAGATGAAATCTCCTTCGAATGGATATATAACAGGCTTATTGAAGCCTATTTCAGAAGGGTGGAATTTTAGTTGCGAAAGTGTCCAACGTCAGCGGAAATATAGGATATACCGGTGTGAAAATGTTTCCGAAGGTTGTTTACGCAGATTCTTCGAAATAATGCCTGTCCGTGAGGCGCAGGGAAGGGCTTGAGATACTGTTGTATTCAAACCCGATACAAAATATGATGCAATGATTATTTTTCGTTGAGTAGCATATGAAAAAAATTGGGGTTAACATTAACTTCGTATCGGAGCACGTCATATTTATGATTATTGGGTGGTTCCATGAATTCGTCCGCTTTTAAATCATTCAAAATGTAATCATCTTATAGTTTATTTGCCGTATCTATGTTTCGGCTCGACGTAGCTTCGCCCACCAACAACGCAGACCATTCTGAAGCTTTTTACTACTGGCCATAATACACGATACTTACGAGTTAATATGAAATAAAATAAACGGCTAAGCACCAGCAAGCAGGCAAGCAAAACCTCGAACCGAACCTGATATTCACTCTCGCAAGATACTGCTGTGTTTCTCATAGGATATGGAGGGATTTACCCATTATGAATTCATCGAAAGAAACCAGATTATTAATGCAGAGCCTTACAGTAAACAGCCTCACTGCCTAAATAAAGCAGTTAGACAAAAACACTCAAATCGTGGACATGGTTTCACTCTGCAACATGACGATGCCAGACCTCATGTCGCAAAATTCATCAAAAATGCCATTGAAGAGTTTGGCTGGGTTGCTTTTTGCATCCGCCACATTCTTTGGACCTTACTCCATCGGAATTATATCTTTTTCGGTCACTCGAATTCAATCTTCTCGTAGTTTCCTTCAATAACGACATAGATCACCAATATTACATCGACGATTTCTTTGCGTCAAACCAGCGGATTTCTTCAAGCGCGAGATGGATAAACTGCCCAATCGTTGGGAGAAGGTTATGATTAATGAAGGGAATGAATAATTTAACAATTCAGTGAACAAGTTTTAAAACTATATCGGCATTGCTAATAAGTTAAATGCACATAAACTTATGAGACAACCCAATATAATATTAACGAGAATGCCTTCGTGACTGGACGTCCAAATAAGTAGTGATGGTACCCCCATCAATTCTCTGTTTTTTGTCTCTCTGAAGACGGTAGGTCAGAAATGCATAAAGTTCACACTTCGTATATTTATTTTTCCCTTTTTCCTGCATGTGGGAAGCAAGCATCGCCTAAACTGAATCAAATCCTTTGACTTTATTACAAAGCACGTACCCAATTTCACCCATTAGGATATATAGTGGGTTTCTTGCAGAATATTAAGCGAAGGACAGACCGAACAGAAATTTTGTCCATTTCAGCTTATAAGGATGAGGACATTTTAGTTTCGAATAAGTATTTAAAATCACCTACTGAGTGGCATTTAAAAGTCACCTAGAATACCCTCCCTCTTATGGAACACACAAATACGCAGATATACTTCTAAATTTTCATTCTTTTGTGATATTTCAGTCAATAAAATGTCAGCAGTTTACATTTTAAATGAAAGTTAGTACTTGATCCCTGACACCTGACCTCAGAAAAGAACCACGGCAGGAAATCTGACTAAGAACGCCTCTAATAAGAAAAACTGACATTGAACCAACAGTGCGAGTAATGCGCTTAGGCGAAATTTTGACGCCTACTTTTGAAAAGATGCTCCAAATAACTTCTCGGAATGGATTATTATGTCGCTTAGTTACGCAATTAGACAGTACTTCTGTGAGTTTTGACATTCTAACCAGTATCATCCAGTTCTATGCATTTTTGGTGGCATTTGAATTCTCCTCCTAGAATCAGTTATTGTCTTGGGACTATTCCGAATTAGATTTTAACAGAAATATCGAACACATCTTGAAATAACGCCAACATCTCCACTGATGTTAGGGGTTGTTAGGTGTCAGTCCGACCGTCGTGATAGAGGATGTGCCTGTATGACACAAATATTATGCAGGCTACGTCGACTTCGGACCCATCCTTTGAGGCACTAACTGCGGTGTCTGTATTTCGGGAAAATGTCGGCAGGAGGCCGACGTCATTCGAGAGAGCAGAGACAGTGACTTGCGCGTGAGTTAGGAGCGAGAGAGTTCCGTAGGAACGATCGGTGAGCGCCCCCTACCATTGTATATTCCCGATCGAAACCGGCAGGGCAACGGGCTCATGGCCCATTAGTCAGAGGCGTGGACATCTAACTAACAGGTCGCGGGTTCGAGCCTCCGGTGTTCCACACTTCAGGGCTGGGTATGACTGGCTGACGACGGCTAATAAGCCAGAAATGGCCATTCCAGTCTCCCTTTTCTTTGTCGGTAATGCCATTTTGAGTTAGTTTATAGCGATAGTAGACCTGCGCGACATCTACCGCATTATCTTCTCCCCATCTGGGCCCGGTGTCAAGACAGTCAAGAAGACCGGAGGCCGGAGAGGATGCAGATGGCTGACACGGCGAAAACCCGCACCTAGGCGTACCACCACACTCCCTGATCAGGATTTAACGGTGCAATAGATGACGGCTGGCGGTTCGAACCTCAGTAGATGGGAACTCCATATAGGCCACATCGTAAAGGAGACATAGCAGTCTTACCCTCAGTCCACCAGTCTGACACTCCACACAAACACTCAGTAGGCTGGCTGAGAGGTCCGAGTTAGTCCGTCAGTTGGAAACCTCCCAGGTCACGGCTTTTAGCGCAACGTGGCAGGTTCAAGCGAGTCGGATTGCTTATTGTGACGAATTATGCGTTGTGTGTCGGCCACATTCTATTCCCATTCTCAGGCCTCAGCCACTGTTCGAGTAGACCAACTAACTAGTGCTACAGTTGAGAGAGGTGATTGATTGAGTGAAGATTAGATACTACTCCGATAATATGCTTAAAATGGGGTAAAAATGAACAGGGGAGTTTCAGTTTTGAGCTTTCTTCCTCACAAATGATTTAAATTATGTTGCTTTTACCTAGCTACGTCGGGATCAGTTCTGTGTGTCTGGTGATCTTCATAAGTAGCTTTCTATGCTAGCTGCTTCAGAGCAGCCGGTCAACTATTTATGCGCTGGAAAGTGACAAATTTTTACATCGGAGGCGATATTTTAGTCCATATCGGCTTCACTGACTACAAGAACTTTCCACATGAAGAGGCCGACACGACCGCTGGGACAAGAGCTTTCTTAGCGTTGTTTGGACGAACCATTAACCGGTCATGTATGGTAGTAGGATGCCTTCTTTAGGGACTTCCTGCGGAACATATTATTGGTTGATGCAAGCCATCCCCCGTTTAGAACGTTTGAATGATCCGTCAGTCCGATATCCGATTGCTTTCAATTATTTTACCCAGTTGGTTTAC